ATTGAATCGTTGAAAAGTGTTTTAAAATAATTCACGAATATTAAAGATTATGTCAGCGGATTAACAATAAAAAAATAGATAATAATAATAATAATAATAATAATAGTAATAATAAAAGTCATCATCATTACATAATGGCCATTTCATGTTTGTGTTTCATAAAATTTCACTTTACATTGCGATCAGCCGGCACATAATGCTTAGAAGCTCATATCTACACACATCTATATTACAAGCTAGGCTAGTTTATGCACGTGTGTTTGTGTGTGTGCGTGCGTGTGTGTGTGTGTGTGTGTAGATATTTTGTGTGTTTGTTTGTTAATGCATTTAGCATTAATATCAAGCCATTTATTTAGTTGATGTTCATAATTCACGAAATTCTTTCAAATTTATTGTTCGATTTTTTTTAATATTTTCCAAAAAAATCAAAATTCGCCAATTAACTAACCAGTCTGCCAACAAACCAACCAACCAACTAATCAATCAATCAACCAACCAGCCAACCAGCCAAACAAATAGCCAACCATCCAGCCAACCAATCAACAAACCAATCAACAAACCAACCAACCAGCCAATCAATTAAGCAACCAACCAGCCAATCCATTGATCAACCAACCAGCCAACCAATCAAGCAACCAATCAATCAATCAGCCAATCAATCAAGAATCAACCAGCTAACCAGTCAACCAACCAGCCAACCAGTCAACCAGCCAGCCAACCAGTCAACCAACCAGCCAACCAGTCAACTAACCAGCCAACCAGTCAACCAACCAGCCACTGAAGTGCCCCACCAATCATCATACACCACATAAAACTTTAATCTCCATCAAATCACCGTATAAAAAGCATGCAATTCTAACGCCGCAAGTTATGCAGCCGAGAAAGTAGCAGTAGTAGTTGTAGCAGTGGTAGTAACAGCAGCAACAGCAGCAGCAGTAATAGTAGTAGTAGTTATAGTAAGGGTATTAGTAGTAGTAGTAGTTGGTAGTATAAATCGTAATAGTAATAATAATAATAACAACAACAATAATAATAATAATGAAATGAGAATAAAAGTCTGCAGTTGTTATCATAGAGTTTGAAGACTCAACATCCAAGCTAAGTTGGCGCTGAAAATGTTGATGGCATTTTATGCATTTAAATATTATATACGTAAGTACGCATGTAAATACGTGCACGCATGCATCTGCTTGTGCGCGTGTGTGTGCGTGTGTTTACCTGTGTCTATCTGTGTGGGAGTGTGTGTAAGGGTGTGTAGCATGGAATCCTAGGACAAGGTATTCTTGGTGTGTAGGTAGTTCGTGTTTCTGTCTATGTTGTGGTTGCTTGTTCTTGCGTGCGTACGTGCGTGTGTCATCGTGTGTTTATGGCCTATATCCGTATATAGCTGAACGTATCACCTGCCTGAGTTTAGTGTATCTATTAAAGTACTTTATTGAGCAGCGATGTGCCCTCACTCAGTGTTCTCTTTCAACTTCCTCCCCTCTTAAATGCACTCAGAACAGCACTTGGAACTGTCCTTAGACAACCTTGGAATGAAAGTAGTTTAGTTGAACCTGACCTTGACATTGTACTTTTTCCAGTAACACATCAATATATGAACTGGCTCGTGAATCAGTATATTTTAGCGGGAAGAGTTTGCTTATTCATTCTGTGTTTTTTATTTTTTTGCTCCAATTTTGTTAAAAAGAGTTTGTCATTCATTAAATATTTGCAATTTGTTTTTAAATATAATTTATTTTCAAACATGAAGTATTAGTATCATTAGCATTGCAAACACTCCTCCAGGCGTTTGGGTTTTAAACAAAATTGTAAGATCAACAAATTGAAGTTAAATATAGCAGAGCAGCCTAGTGAGAATTCACACATTCAATTAAAATAATCATTGGATTGATAAATATTAATAATTAAAAAATAAACACATGAAAATCTCTTCAGGTTTAATTTTCATTGACCAATTATATATCTATCTATTCAACGTTTGCTTTCAAGGCTATTCTATATACTATAAAAAATTACATTTATATATTTGTGTGTGCGTATGTATGTATGTGTGTGTGTGTGTGTGTGTGTGTGTGTATGTGTGTGTGTGTGTGTAGTTTATAAAAACAACAACAGAGATCATGTGACAAGTATTAAAGGTTAATAGATATATTTAATTCAATCCACTTTTACTCATTGCGGTACTTGAGTACAACGATCAAGTCTATTTTCAGACAAAGTTTTTTAGCAGTACACGTATGTATGTGTGCGTGCGTGTGTGTGTGCGTGTGCGTGCGTGTGTGTGTCTGTATCTGTATATGTTAAACTGTTTTTATTTCGTATCTAAACGTATTTATGTGTTATGCATGTTTAAATGTAGGTATTATTATCATGTAAAGGCTTGCCTTTCATTTATAATATATGTCTTTGTGTGTGTGTTTGTGTTTATATATATATATATATGTGTGTGTGTGTGTGTGTGTGTGTGTATGTGTGTGTATGCATATATGTTTATGTA